GGAAGCCAGGTATGCAGGATTATGTTACATAGAGATGTCCTTGATATGGGCCGGTGTTCTTGGCAACGTCCCCACATGGGAGCAATAAAAACTGCTTAGTGGAAGGTTCCACCGGGGTTTTGTTGAGGGTACCTTGATTCTTGACCCTTTTGCCCTGAATGAAGAAAGAGGGACAGTGGAGATGTTTGAAATCTTTTGTTACAAAGGTACTCTTCATTTCAAGAGGAAAAAAAAAAGGCTGGAAATAACTCTTAAGAAGCATCTTTTGTTTTGTGTGTCATTGTGTGAATAAAAGTGTATAATAAATTGACTCTTGTTGATCTCCATTTTGTATGATAGAAGTGATCGAAATCCCAGAAAATTAGGTACAAAAATTTCTGAAATAGGAACATAAATCGAAGATAAATACCATTAGATTGGTATGGTTTGTTTTGTATGATGTTTCATGTCACAGTCTTATGTCATATCTCAACATCTTTTAAAATTTTAGCAGCTCCAAGAAAATTCTAATTTATTACAAAAAAATTTTAATCACATGATGGCGTATTATCCTACTTTTCTTAATAAGAAGTTTTAACCGATTTTTTTCCATATTGCGTTGGATTAATGGGGGATGACCTCGATAACCCACTATGATAACATGAACGTAAAAAAGTGTGTGTATGGAGCAACTTGCAATGTGGACAGACTGGTGTTGTAGTGGCCAGACTTAGGCTTGGTTACAAGTACTTCTGACACTTTGGCAGACACACAGATGATCAAACCAAAGTATGTGGCCAACCTTATGGTCACTATCTTGAACACTATGTTCTTTATTGTTCAGTCATCGAGAATATAAGAGATAGTAAATTAACCTATGTGATACATGTATGTCAAGATATATTGAGCAAAGTTCCTAAATATGCTTGCATCAGATAAGTGAACTGTAGATATAAATCCAGATGTACTCTTGTAAGCCCCTTCAGGGCCTAGTTCCTAGGCCTTTTGTATATACATATGTTCTTGGGCTGCCGTCCACAGGGTATATATGGGGTACACAATAAACTAGGCACTTCGGTGGCAAAACCAAAATCGTTGGGTTTAACTTCTTGTGAGTGGAAGAAATTAAATACGGTATTTGTGATGCTATTCGCCCAGCTGTGCTGGAAAATATTTTCTGTAAATCTGAATACAGAATTAGACTTATTATGGTGGTTATTAGTTTGATTATTAATTGATCAGACCAATGTAAATAAGAGCTAAATATCCCTGAAGCGAGGTTCCTCAGTGCTGGTGAGAGGCTCCTCGCTTTGTTGGATCGAACCTGATTGTCTCCCATTCCCCCAGTGTGACCCGTACGGTTTACCGATTCTCCCTAAATATAATTGCAAAGACATGTAAACAAATTAATAAACTTATGTCACAGTGTTACTGCATGTATTTATTCTTAATTGTTTTTGCCATCTCAAAGAAACTCATTTTTGAGAAATGAATGAATTTCGAACCCGAGCAGCGGTAGTTCTAAGACTGTTAGTCCGTCACACTATTTACACAAATATCCCGCACATAGGAGAGAGAAGCTTACGATGACGAAACGTCGTCATACGAAAACGAAACGTCGTCATACGAAAACGAAACGTCGTCATAATCTTCTCTCTCCTATGTGCCGGTTATTTGTGCATTGTTCCAGTCACGGTATTGTGTTTTTTTTTATTCTTTCATCACATTATTTATTCTTTTGTAAGGAATCATAAGGATTCTCCAACCAGAAACTGTTCTTTACTAAGTGTTAGTGAAGCCACAGTTACGACACAGTCACGGAGTTTTTAATAGAGCACCATCCACCAGACCTATAGCCAAGCTCTGGTTCTACCTTGAAGGACACAAGACTTGCTCATGGCTCTACGTTGGGTTGGGGATATATCACAAAGTCTTGTGATTGGGGAGTAGTTTTTGTTTGCACAAACCTTTGTAGCAACAGCAGTTTCTGGTTTGGAGAGCCATCATGAGCCCTTATAACAAGATGTCCAACATTAGGGGCTGGTACTCTTAGGACTGAAGATGAATGGTACAGAGAACCGACACGTTGACAAATTAGACTCTTAGGACTACTGGACAGCAAGTTCAGAGTGCTGGACACATCTACCCTGATAAAATCATAGGTACCCAGTTAGTGATAGTAATCAAGATGACAAAAAGCCAAATATTCTCATATCATGAGAAGCTGTAGCCTGATACTTGTCATCTGACTCCATATCTACTGTAAATAAAAGGTATATGATTGTTTATATAGTCTTATTCCTTAAAGAATTTTTTTAATGATTATTTTCATTATAGACAAAAATATGGTGTTACTGTAATGAAGGTAAATAATGAGACCATTCTTGGTGTTAATTTGATAAATACAAATACTCGAGGGCTCTGGTGGCCTGGTGGTTAACGCTCTCGCTTCACACGGTGAGGGCCAGGGTTCGATTCCCAGCCAGAGTAGAAACATTGGACGTGTTTCTTTCCACCTGTTGTCTATGTTCCCCATCAGTAAAATGGGTACCTGGGTGTTAGTCGACTGGTGTGGGTCGCATCCTGGGACACTGACCTAAGGAGGCCTGGTCACAGACCGGGCCGCGGGGGCGTTGACCCCCGGAACTCTCTCCAGATAAACTCTCCAGATAAATACTACAGTGTACAGAAAGACCACATTTCCACATTTAGTGCTTCGATCTCAACGTTTTATCTTCTGCTTCTGTATTGATTAAGGAAAATGCTGCAAAAACATTAATAGATGCTATTCCTTGTCTTCTGCTTGGTATAAATTTGACAAATAAAATTTTGGACGAGATTTTTCTTGTGTAATACGGTAATTATTAACTCATTATTAAAAAAAGACTATTAAAAACCTTTGATTTCGATAATGAATTGTTACACACTACACTATGGCTACATTTCCTAAAGTTGCTCGTTACATTAATTTCCTTTCTATGGACAATAAAGTTATTATATTAGGAAATAGTGTCTGAAATTATTGCAAATAACTTACCCACATATTAATTATATTTGTTAATCCTGTAACTGTTAGTAGTCACCTCAAGTATTTAAGAATCCACTTGTGCTAGATCTGGGCACAAATGTTATTTATGAGTTTACCTATCAAATCACATAACGGGAATGGTTTGAACCCATGGCAGGCAAGTCCTAAAACATATTTGTTTGCAATCGTGTTTTTACGATTTCGTGAGTTATTAGTTTAGTTGGTGTAGCTGTAATGCTAGATACAGTGGGAGTATATTTAGAAGCATCTAAACTACAGGATTCATTCTAGTTACTTAGAAAAATGTAGCTAGTAGCACATTACGAAACTAGATTTGGTATTTTTTAAGTTTAAATTAGGGAGATCAAATCTGGACTCAGTGACTAGACATCAAAATAATTATCTTCCCCGTGTTGGTTTAACTTTCTTGTTGACCTCGATGTTTCCACCGTGTGTCTTAGTTTCTTCTCGCCCTCGCTAGAGGCAGCATGCTCCTAAGATGCCTCTCTAGTTTTCTAGTTCTTATATTTCAGACAGTTTTAGTATTTATAACTGATCACAATGTTGCCTTATTTTTGCTACATGAGCTGTGATTCTCTTTCTCAGATCCTGATAGTGGTTCTCTCTCTCTCTCTCTCTCTCTCTCTCTCTCTCTCTCTCTCTCTCTCTCTCTCTCTCTCTCTCTCTCTCTCATATGTATGCAGTAATCGCTAACAAGTGATACAAAATTCAAAACAGCCACGGTGGGAGTTGAATGATAGCTCTAGGCTTTTCGTGTTGCAATCAACACATCAGGAGCTTGCAATGTTGCAAAAAAGAGGAGGAGGTCCAAGCTAATACGATCACAGGAAGTGCGTTTGCTTGAATGAGGCAGAAGGCAGGAAGTGCCCCCAGGCATACCAATACCCATAGCCAGAAAGAATGAATATTATAGCATTAGGAAACAGTCAGCCCACAAGCATTGATACTGTAGTAGTAACATAGTGAACGTGACATGGCAATTATCAAAAATTCGATCAGATTACGACATGATATAAATGACTTTAAATACCAAATATAGATATCACTGGCGCACAAACAGGTGCAGAAACTTCTAAGATATTTATCTTAGAAGTTTCTGCACCTCTAGAAAACGGGTCCATTTAAAGGGAGACATCTATAATTTATCCAAAGGGACATATCCATAGTTTATCTGACCCACAGGGTTTTCAGGCAGACTCTGAATATTATATGAATGACTTCACATGCCAAATATAGATAGATCTGGTAATTGTCTTAGTAATTTTTGCACCCATAGAAAAGCCGTCCATTTAAAGGGGGGCATCTGTAATTTATCCCAAGGCGGCCATAGTTTATCCCACAAGATTTCTGCAACAATGCAACCTCCTGATGTGTTGATTGCAACACGAAAGTCCTAGAGCTATCATTCGACTCCCCCCTTGGTTGTTTTGCATATACATATATACATACAGGGGTTGGACAACGTAATATGAATACCTTGTTCTTTAATATTTTATTTTATTTTCAATATTAGTTGGTTATCTATTTGCTGCTAAAACAGCACCAGTTTGTGGAGGAATTGATTCATATAGCACTTGAACACACTGTTCTAACCCTTGCTGTTCCAATTGACACTACAGATGCTCGATAATATTTAGATCCGGCGATGGTGGTGGCCAATCTATGTGTTCAACTTCATTTTTATGTTGCTCATGTCAGTTTTGAACAACTCTAGTGGTGTGAACTGGTGCATTATCGTCTTGGAAGATAGCGTAAAAAGGGACCTGTAAAACATTTAAATTGATTATTTAATCGTTCGACAGTTCCATCAAGAGGTGTTTATGTTTTGTTTATGTTTATGTTTATGTTTTGTATGTGTGTGTGTGTATGTATGTATATCGCTGGCAAGATTATATTTTGTGAACATATTGTTGAAGGTGGAAGATGTTGAGAATTGTAAGGATGTAACACGCATGTTTCTCTGCAGGTCGAAGTACGAGCAAATGGCGGCCCGATGCGACAGCGATGGACGTGGAGATGAGCACTAAGGATAAGTGTCGTCTCTTCAGCGAACCCAACCACGATTCCATGGAGTTCTACAGCCCCCTCTACCCCGACCAATACCCAAAGAACACTGAGTGTATCCTCAGTCTTGAAGGTGAGTCCTCTGATCCCCAGTAAGTACAACCATCACCATGGGCATTACTGCAGCCGGTATACCCAGCTGTTACCACAGTATCCCATCCATTGCATCTACCAGTGGAAGTAATCACAACAAAACGCGTGACTGCAAATATAAAAAAATACCTCGTTGAACCAAAAATATCAGGAAAACCTGAACTCAGGCCTATATTTTTCACTGCAACAATCAGCACAATCTGAACTACAATCACTAACAAAATGCTCTGCTAATATCACAACTACTGCTTTTACCATCACCATCACAGACTACCACACCCAGCAGTATAATGTGATCCCTTACTGGCAATGTTTCGCCCATATACTGGGCTTTATCATGACACAAACAGATCAATCTGGAGAAGCTCTGAGCATGTAAAGAGTGCAGGTCAATTTTTTTTTTATATTTTATTGAGAGCACATCTTGTACAAACAAAATACATATATATATAGTATAACACTGTGGAGAACAATAAGTATATACATAAATTATCACACACGCACACGTTGTTGGACACAGGAGAAGCAACCCGTCACAGACAAAAACAAAAACGAAAGACCATCAAGCACACTATACATCACTTAAGCAACCTATCAGTATATATAAGAAAAGCACATGAAATTATCACACCATACTCATGTAGGTGTAAGTACAAGAAACAGCACACACATATATTATTGTAAAAGAAACGCACATTCCTATAAAAAAAAAACCTTTCTTGGGAGTAAGTCTTACAAAAGTATCTGTGTCCGCCGGAGGTACACACACCTCCGCCGGAGGTACACACACCTCCGCGAAATACACTGGCCACAATTACTAAATTATCATATTGTTGTACACATACATAGATATATCATCATGCATAGTAAAGGCTATCAACAAATCAAGTTCACAACACTGGCTTCCATAACCTAATGCGAACACATAAATAAAAACTACTCTATCACAACCTTTTCACTGCACAAAAGTCAACGTGCAAAGCAAAGGTGTATACAAGAGACACTATCAAGTTGCAAATTCAGTCTCTCCAACACTCCTTACCCCCCCCCCTCTTTACCCCCCCCCCATTTGGGCAACCGACCACTTTCTCTCATCATTACACATAACCCTGTCACACAGTCTTGCAGCCGTACATGAGCATATAACCTGTCACAGCGCGACAGTTTCACAATCACTACGATCCTCACCCAAGCATCCTTACAGAATACATGCGTACATTACCTCTAAAAAAATATACACCTCCACCCTCTAATATATGTGTGAGGGTAAGTGACCAAGCAAGTGCAAGGCCATATATACTTAGAGAGTAATGCAGACATCATCCCGTGGGACATGTATGCAAAAGTATAAACCGATAATCCCCACACCCAAACTGGATGGCACTTTTATTCCGGCTGTCATCACACTTACATCCTAACACCTCCGGATGCAACATCCCAGCAATTCCAGGAACAGCTGTTAAAAATTGACCACTGTCTGGAAAACCTTCCAGCTCCTGCACCCAACATCTTGCTCCTGGGGGATTTCAGCCTAAGGCACCTAAAATGGAAGAATATAGCAAATAATATTGTTGCAGTAATAACACCAGGAGGCAGCTCTGATGAAAACTCACACTCACGCGAGCTTTTAAATCTCTGCACAAAATTCAATTTAAACCAGCAAATAATAGAGCCTACTAGACTGGAGAATACACTAGACCTCATCTTCACTAACAATGATGATCTGATAAGAAATGTCACCATATCAAAAACAATATACTCAGATCACAACATAATTGAGGTTCAGTCATGTATGCGCGGAGCCCCAGACCGACATAATGAGATTAGTCACGAGGGAGCATTCACCAAATTCAACTTCAATAACAAAAACATAAAGTGGGACCAAGTAAACCAAGTCCTAACCGATATAAGCTGGGAAGATATACTAAGCAACACAGACCCCCAACTTATGCTAGAACAGATTAACTCGGTGGCACTCGATGTATGCACAAGGCTTATTCCTCTAAGAAAAAGGAGGGGGTAGATTTTAAAACCGAAAGAGACAGCGCTTCCCATTTCAGGGAAAGGAAAAGAATAAAAAGAGGGCCCAAAAGAGGCAATATATCGGGAAAAGCGTAGGGAAAACTGGGCAGAGAAAAAGCAAAAAATTTAACTTAAAACTAAAAGAAACCTTTAAAGGGGTCAGGGAAACGGGGGGAAGACCAAAAACCCTAAATTTAAATTTAAAGAAACCCAAAGTATTTTTTTCTTTCCAATCAAAAACAAAAAACGAGAACAAAGTCCATATTGGGCCCCCACTTAAAAAAGATTTGGGCCCCCACAATGGGCAGGCCCGGAAAAGAGTGGCAAATCAAATCCCCAAAATTACTCAATTTTTTAGCCCGCCCCTAACCGACGAGAATTCCGAAGATCAAAAAGAATTTTTTTAAAAGAGAGAGCCACAAAATTTGATTTAAAACCAAACCCATCCCGGGTGTTAATTTCCCGACGCCAAAGACTTCGGAAAAAGCGATAAATGACATGCCCAGGCACTCCCCGCCCCAGGCCGACTCTGGAACTCTTGGTTTTTATCAAGAACCGCAAGAAGCCCCCTCACGACCTTTTCCCTCCCCCAAAAAGGAGAGGGAGCATGGAAAACGGGGGCGTCCCACAAATTACAAAAAAAAACAGACAAAGCCCCACTCCACAAAGGGGCAGTAAAACAACAGCAAAGAACTCCCGACCAATAGCACTAACTCCCAATCATAAAAAACTTTGAAAGGGGCCCAAAAAAAGCAAATCACCACCCATCAGAAACCCATCAGTTAAAACAACCCCGGGGAACAAGGGGTTTTGAACGGTCGCTCCTGTCTGTCTCAACTATTTTGGGTCCAAAGCCCAAACTTTCCAAATCACCAAAAAGACAAAAAAATGCAGATTTAAAATATACAGACTTTGCAAAAAACCCTTTGACAAGTGTTACCATGGCTAAAAAGCGCACAAAAAGCGTGCTAAAGGAATAAAAGGGAAAAAATCGGGCGATGGGCTTAATTTCCTTTTACTAACAGAACCCCAGAGAGTAGTCGGGCAACAAGTAAAGTCCCCAGGCAGCTACGGTGAAAAACATGTTTCCACAAGGGACCAGTACCGCCCCCCATCTTGTTCCCATCCCAAAAATTTCCACATAGAAAAGGAAGCAACCCCAGCACCCGGGGGTCTTTCCCTTTTCAGATGCCCCCGAAACTGCATGCAGTGGTTTTCCCTTTCAGACATGCAAAAGCTCCAGGGGGACATCCCAACCCAAAAATTTTTTAGTGGGGTGGGAGAAAACAAAATGAATCCAACGAGAGAAATTTCAATTAACCCGATATTAAAAAAAGAAGAAAAAAAAATCTTCATCAGATACAAAACAAATTCCCGGCGGGCCAAAAAAATAGAGGGGAAACACCAACGTCAAAGACCTGGGAGTGATAAGGGCGGAGGGGTTTTCACCTTTAAGGACCATAACATTGTAAAAATCCAAACTTTCTAAAAAAATGACGGGGGATAATGAGAACCTTCAAAACTGGGGGGGCCAAGCCCAAAATGACACTCTTCAGGCACTTGTTCTTCTAGCTGGAATATTGCTGGGAAAACTAACAGCCCCCTTTCAAGGGAGGTTGGGAAAATTTCCGACCTTTTAAAAAAGAAAAGAGAACTTTCAAAAGCGGGGCATAAAAGGAGATAAAACCCTCAATTTTTGGGGGGCGCTTGAGGTTCCAAAACCCGTATTCCCTGGAAAGCAGGAGGAAGGGTAAAATGATTTTATACACCTGGAAAAAAACCTAAGGGGCTAGTCCCCAAATTTTTCACACGAAAATCACTTTTACTACAAAAACAAAAGACTGGCGACGATCCACCATCCCCCCCAAAAAAAAACAGGGGGTCACTAGCACGTTAAGAGACCAACAATAAGTTCAGGGCCCGAACGTTCAACTCCCCCCAGCAAACAAAGGGGGGTTACCAACAACCCCCGGCAGTCTTCCAAACTGGCAAATGGACAAGCACCTAAATCAGTTCCCGGGTCAGCCCCGGGGTGTGGCTTTGTACGTTGGTTTGCTTTCAGGGCCCGCAGCAAAAAGCCTGGTTTTTCAGGCTCTGAACCCCAGGAGGCCTGGTCACAGACCGGGGCCCCGGGGGGGGTTGCCCCCCCCGGGCCCCTCTTCCAGGAAACCCCACTGAATCATCCCCCTTTTTCAGTCTTAACCCAAAACCACACACAAACCATACACACACACACACACACAAACCCCACACACACACACACGCACACACAAAACACACACCCCACACACCCACACACACACACACACACACACACACACACACACACACACATTCACACTCAACTCACACCAACATCAACTCCACCCCTGGGGGGCGACCCCCACTAAACCCGGTGACGCCAATCCTTCCCCACCCATGACAACCTCCCCCCCCCACTAAAGCTGTAAGATTCCAACAGTTAAACCCCATAACCCTGGGGGGAAGGCTCCCTCCCACCTCGATCCAATATTTTCTTTTCCCTGAAAAACCGTCTTAAAAAAGTACTCCCTTTACCCATTTCCCCTCGCAACCCAATCCCCCTTTCCCCCACAAAACCCCCATGACACGTACACAAATTTTAAAATTAAATAGTCAAGCTCTTTCGTACTCTCTGGACCCTCCCAATCCAAAACTAGCGCCCCCCCCAACCTGGTATGCCCCCCCCCCCTCGTCTCACTAGTCTACCCCAACCCCGAACTTCACACTGCATGATATGCCATACCCCTTCCAACACACTCCACACCCACTCTCCCCCCTTTATCGTCTCACCCGTAGAACCCCTCCCGATGCAAAATGCCATCAGGAAACGGAACAAATCCCCAACCCCAGGCCTGAGCTTTAACTTACGAAAAAGACACCAATATCTCCCCATCCTACATGGGATATTCCCCCCGCAGCACCCCCACCGGGTCCCAA